CTTTAAGTACCAACTACCAGAAAACCACCACTAGGCTCTTGATGATATTTTATTGCAGGTAGCAGGAATCATCAGGACATTTGAATTTGTCCACACATATGTTGCATTACATGAAACACTATAAAAGTATGTAAAAACCTCATTTGCATCTACCAGGAGAGCACAATAAAACAATCTGTTATGAAGGATTCTGAATGGCTTTAACTCTGCCCACTTCTGTGTGTTCAATAGCAGGCTATCATTAATATCACAACACATACAGTAAATTCAATGGGTATCATTCTTTTTTAGGGCTCAGCTAAGTAAATTGTGTCGGCACATGCCATGCCTAAAACACATACATAATCCCATTGATACTAGGATGACCCAGAGGCTTAATTAAATATGGGATACATTGTCTTGCTGAGCAGGGCCAGAACATTTTAACCTGCTTATGTTTCAGTCTGTTTCTTGGATCTCTTTCTTGGAGACAAAACACAGCGCCAAAAAGGGAATCCATATAGTGAAATAAGCTATTGACAGTTTAAGCAAAATATTGTAGGATAATGTGCTGTTTAATAGAACTGTTACCTTTTAACCAAAAATGAAAATCAAAATATATGAAAACATTCAAATCAAATACTACTATTTCCACCATATAAACATATTAACACTTTAAAGTATTAAAAAATGTCTTGACATGAAGATGGGTGCCTACTTGCATTATATTCATGTTTATATAATTAACAAACGACTCACATAAATGTAGCTTGCACTCTTGGTTCTGCAGCTAGATACCCTAAGGCCAACATGCTCTAGTCCTATTTCTCTGTTCACTTAGACCAATGTAAGTTTTAATATAGCAACTTCAAAGGAGTTACTGCATACAGACATTTGCATAATTGAATACAGAACTTAAACAAAAATAAAGCTAAAATCTAAAGAATGCCTGTCTTCTTTGCTAAGAAAATGAATAGGAGTTAGTTGTAACTAAAAGATCCACTGGCCTCTGTGAAAATAAGCCATAACCTTCAGTGTCTGACTATAAGACTGTGTTTAAAGCTCTTTTCCTTCGCAAAGATAGCATGCAAAAATGTGTCATTTTTATTTATTTTATTTTATCAATATACTGGTCCCAAAACACTTTATGAAGATGGGTCAGAACCATGATCCTATTTTAATCCTTAAAATATGCTAAAATAAATGAGTATGCTTTTATTCTTAAAATATGCTAACTTTTTTTTCTTTTAGGTGAAATATATGCTATTGAACATTGACCAAACACATTAACATAATGATTTTCTGGATAGTTGCGTATGAAACATTATTTTTGTTTGTGAGATGTACCTCTGCCACCAGAAATGCAGAGATAAAGCAGGAAGAGGATATGACTTCCATTTGTAATATTCTCTTTCTGTATATGTGCGCAAAGCAAAATATGACAGATAATTTAGAAAAGCTAAAAAGTATCCTCATCTGAGATGTGGTTGGCAAGTGTATCCTTGACCTGTATTTGCATGGGGAAAAATATGGGAGACTGAGCACTCTTATGGCTCGGAAGTCACTGCTCGGAAGTACTAGACATAGCCCACCCCTCAAACATGTTTGATTCCAGTACTTTGGAGCTCTAGCACCCAGGCCATGCATTTCTGTTTCAGCAGTAACTGTAAAGCTGTTAGTCAGAAACCATGGAGTCTTTGCACCTGTTCTAAAGGGCTTCAAAAGGGCCTACAATATGGTCAGTCTTCCAGCCAACACAGTGCACATTATGGTCATACTAAAGGATCTGAGAAACTCAGTGAGCAACATTTTGTTTAGACAGAGAAGAACCGATGAGAAGACTTCTCACTGAAAAATCATGTGAATCTATTTGATAGGAAACAAGAAAGACATCATCAGGAGCACCAGCAAGCCTACTGTCTAATGTGCTCTCTTTAAAAACTATTCATACTATACATACAAATGCTCCCTGGTATGTTTATACTATTTATAATGTATGAGTTCATGGCATTTTCTTTCACCTAATTAATAAATCAAAATCACTATTAGTCTTCTGTGAATCGATTTGTGAAGTCCCCGACATCTTTATCTAAATGCAGCACATATTATATTGAGGATGCAGCTTATTGAGGTTTCCATATATATATTTATAAATCTGTGCTTCCTTAAGAATTTCATTTTCTACAATAAGTTAAAACTTAGAACAAAAATAGGTAAAACATCAGCTTAAAAACTATACTAGTTGTCTTGATTTATTACTCAGCTTTTCCAAATTTCAAAAGGGAAAAAAATAACAAATACAATCTCTATTGTTTTCTGATTGACTCAAATTCTTTTTGTTATCAATTCTCCCCCACTTTAATGAATACCTCCTTTAAGCAAAGAAGAAATGTATTTTTCAAACATGTTTTCTTAATTGTACTACTATCCTTTGCTGTATTGTATTCCAAAATGAATTAATGAAAATAAATTTTTATTTGACTTTTCTGTAAAATGAATACATTTTCTTTTTTTTTTCAGTTTTCCTTTTTAAAGAATCACATTCTGAAGAAGAAGAACAATAATTAATGCAAGCTGGTGCTGCTATCAATTATCCTAGCACCGGAGAAGCTGAATTCATAAAAAATATATCAAACAGCTTTTTCAGCTATGAGCAGGTAACTGCTTTGTGACAAATAGACTTGGATGGCATACAGCTAAAAAGGGAGCTGGAATGGACTTTTCATCTGCATGAGAGACATGTTCCAGTCCCTGAAATCTAGGTCAGTTGCCTCATTCTCCCATTAGTTAAGTTTGCTTACATTCCTTCCCACAAAATATTCTCTCTTCTTCTCTCTCTTGCACATTATTAATGGCACTTAAAAACAAGCAGATTCCCACACATATAGATGAGCCAAAAAAATGCTTTATCTGTCTCAGGAGATGCCAATCCAGCAGAAGGAAGCCCAGGCTCAGTCAGTCACACCTGGAGTTCTGCCTCTTGCTGTTCTTCTTGTGTGCCAAAGACACAGCAGGAGACACAGCTCTTGGTGTGCTTGGATTATCTGCTACATACGCGTTTTAATTCAGAAATGCTTTTGAACATGGGACTAATCTTGAATCTGGATTTGTGAGGGTTGTTTCTAGTCAAAACAAGGATTTTTTTTTTTTTTCAGTAAGAAAGGAATAGGTGGACAAAGACTTAACTGGCCGTGATAAAAATTTGCATGTTACAGGAACTGCCCATCAAAATATATTGGCCTTATGATTTTCCTTTGCATATAATCAATCATATTCCTGGAGTATGACTGTTTGGGTAAGCATCACTATCAGCATTCTGCAGACAAGGACAAGTCAAAAAGGCTGCCTTCCTGTGAGCAATGCACATATGATAAGCAATGCATGGCCACAGCAAAGCTGACAATTTTGATTACCTTGTCCCTGAAAATACCCATATAGATAGGACTATCCTTAAAAATAAGGCAAATAGGAGTTGTTTAGGAATGTGCTTATCACATCAGGCTAAATGTCACACTACTTCAATATTCTATTTACGATTCTGCATGTTGTTTCATTGTTCTCTATTATATCAGCAATTAGGAATATTTCAGGGTGTTCTTTCCAGTACTGGATGATTTTTCTTTCTCGGTATTGAACTGCTTTTTCTCCTACACTGCTATTTTGTAGCTTTGTCAGGTCTTTCAGATTTCACTCAGTTTTGTGTTGTCAGCAAAAGTTGCCAGCTCTTGTTTATAATAGACAACATCATTCCAGGCAGAAGGATCTTGTTGATGGTTTACAATACGCTGAAAAGATGACCACTGCCTTCCAAAACCTACAGATGGAAGGTATTTCTTCAGTAAACACAGAGACGTTGGGCATCTCTACTGCTGTCTACATTTCAATGAAAGAGAAGCAGAGAATTGATGGAGCATTCAGTGTAGTTAGTGCCTCTCTCTAAGGCTTATTCTTACAAAACAATATAGTGTAGGCCTTGAGAAAATTAAAATAATACAAGAGAAAACAAAGTATTAGTCAAGTTAAGTGCTTTTTATAAAATGAATTCATGCATTTATTCATTATACATAGAGTTACATGATGAG